GTTTAGTGTCTTGCCCAAGGATACAACGACAGCAGACATCAGTGGGAGTCAGTGAAGAAAGTCTCGTGGTGAGCTCAAACCCATAACCTTCAGGCTCAAAGGCCAATGCTCTACCAACAGCAGAGACAACCGCGACCACATCCGATAATCTATGTCTGTAATTTCAAAGTCCAATTTACTAGAATAGGGGTAGCGAATGACTAGAAAAGGATCTCAAAGTGAGACTTGCAATATTATTCACGTTTCAACCTTGCATACATACTGTGGTTGTAGTTGTGTAACTTGTGGTTTAGAGAGTACAGTTTGAGATTACTTTCAGATCGCAGTCATTTCATAAAGTCAGACTGGTAAATGAAAACACTACTGTAGATTCATTGAAAGCTGTAATGCGCTGGAGACTATATTTTTGATGGCTACCTCTGATCCCAATGCAGAAAAATAGCGATACATCAAACCCTTCTGGCCAGTTTCCATAGGTCAAAGTCAGTTCAAGTGACGTGTTTTTAAAGGTCCGCTCTTGTGCGTATGTTCTGGTAATGTTCCCAGTGTAAAACAGACCTCCTCAGTGAAGCTTTCTGCCTCTACACTCCATTCTACACTCCACGACAAGGACCTTCAGATCGCATCATTTATCCAAACACGCCGAAAGCTAATCAGACCCGTGCAGGCAAATCAAATTAAGTTGGTGCCAGCAAAGTGAGTTTTTTAGGTGTTTTTAGGCAGCCTGCTGGGTGAAAGTGAAAAACAGAAAGTTCTATTACTGATGCTATTAGGCGGCATGTAAACACACTGGGTTAGGTCCTCAATGGCAGCCTCAGTCACCCCATCAGTCCACCACTTATCCCAGGGACGTCAGCTGTAACTGGGCTGCTTATGGACTAAAAACTCTGTGAGAGCTAATGGAGGATTAAAATTGGAGTGGAGAGCTTGCGAAGAAATGAGCGAAGCAGAGAGGGCCAATGAATAACTTAGAGAGTGTTTAAGCTAATTTGGAATGTCAATTACCGTGGACTAATGTGGAGGCAGGACTTTGTTGAATAAGTGGTCACTGTAATTCAATAGTCACCAGAACTCAACTTTCCAAGGCCAACTTTAGACTGAGATGCCATGAAAATACATACACTTTGTCTTTCCTTTTCCCTCTCTGTACATAGGACAATATAATTCTGCCTACCTTCCACTGTCCTCTCCCTCGGTCATCTGAGTGTCCGTGTCTCCACTGCAGAGTAGGACCACTCGGCGACGTCATGAGTTTTGATTGCCGCATAAGCGAAACTCATGCCAAACCCATTTGTTTATTTTACGGGTTTGCATGTCTGCACCTGTCTTGTATGTCTATATTTTCCATAATCAGAAAAAGCAAAAAACGACCATGGTCTGTATTTGAAGTGCTAAGCGTTTGCACACGACGACGGAAAACGGTGCAGTTCTAGCGCCGGGCCAGTAGGGGGCAGCGGAACTTTACAACATCCTCCTCAGTACGCAGCAAAGACTTGAAAGAATGCACCAACATTATTCTGCGTTAAACTGAAACTACAGCTCTGCGTGGTTTGGATTGGACGAAGGAGTAGAAGTCTCCTCCGTGTAGCGCTCGAAGTAAACGTAGCATTAATCGACCCGCCGCCAGGTTCATTTCAGAAGCGAATACATGAAGTTTTTACCAGAGTTTTCAGTAGGACCAAGTGTGGCAGCTGACATCCACTGACTTTGAGGTTTGTGGTGCACATTTAGAACGGATTATTGACTGCAATGATGTTATTTGTTATTTACAGTTTATATAGACAGGCCTAAAAGTATCCTTCTAATCCACTGTTAATAGATTAAGGAGAACTTAAACTACTTTACCATAAAAAAAAAAGACAAATAATGTTCAGGGCACCTGGAAACTATCTGCTAAGAACAAAACCTTCAGTACAACCTAAAAACAACCATTAACATTAAAAAGTCTTCTGTCCTGCTCGTTCCATTCACAAAGCCTGCAGCACGACATGCAACTCTGTCCCCAAAGTTCATAATCTTTTTTTTTTAAAAGGCATCCATTTTTCTTGAATTCGTTTTGAGCTCGTCTGAGATCATCCTGTGTATGTTTATAAACTACAGAGTATTAAAGGATTAGGAGGTGCAAACATTTTTGGTTCATACATTTATTTTATTGAAGTCAGATAGACACATTGTACAGTTCAGTTTGGAGTGAGCCTTGTGATTTCTGCATTGTGATTCAATAGATGACAGCCAATTCCTTATGCATATTGTTTATAACAGCCACGTGCTTTAAAACTCATTGATTAAGTTAAAAAACACCCTTGAATACACACGTGGATGTGTATTTTACGGTTTTCCCCACTCATTAGTTGTGACCAGTATCCATCCACATAAAAAACAATAAATTAGGCTGTGTGTTCTCTCAATGATTACATTTGCATAATTCCACTCCCGGTCCAGCCCAGCGTTCCGCCTCTGCTCCTCTGAGCCAGTCCGTGCGCACGCAGCAGTCGAGCCTTCATGAACCAACCTCACTTTTTACTCCACACACAATTCTCCTCGGCTCTGGTCATGTGATAACCAGGACAAACCAACTTGCAGAGAGACGCAGGCTGGAGTGCGCGCTTACGTGAACGTGACTGTGGGACGAGCGGGGAGAAAGAGAGAGAGAGAGTGTGTGTGTGTGTTTGTGTGTGTGTGAGAGAGAGACGCAGATAGAGGGAGTGAGTGAGCAGTCAAGCCATTCAAAGATCGTCCCGTGGAACTATCCTCACGCACGATTACGCATCCGCATGAAACTTTCTCCAGGAGTGCCCTCTTTGTGAAGGGGCAGGTTTCTTCTTGCGCATATAGGTGAGTGCGTCATTTAGTAAACCTTGCACCTATCTGCTTATTGTGATAGTATTGTTGCTTTGGTGTAGTGCTTGGACATGCATTGGCCATACCTCAACACCAACAAAACCATGCAATAACAGTGCACATGATTGATTGTCTCGTTATTCTTAAGACAAGTTTATTTTTTTTATTTTGTTTACGATTCCTAATTATAGTGGGTTTTGACAGCCTTTCCAAAACGTGCGTGGCGTTCTACAGAAGCATATGCTGTGAAGTCAGGTTGTTGTGACGAATCTCAAACGACAGATCAAAGCCATCTGCGGTTGTGTTATTGCTTTGTGTCGATAGTAAATGTCTTTGGCTGCGCGCACGTAAAATCTCGCCGCGCTCGTAAAAGATCCATATGTGTTTTTTTGTGGAGAGTAGCGTGCGTCATGCTGTCAGTCCGCTCTGATGTGCGTGGGTTACTATCGGACAGAGAGCTGCAGCCCTGGGCCAGGTCAGACTGGTTCGCAGACTGGCCCAAACTTTTTTTTTTTTTTTTTTCCACGGCTCCTGTGTCATGTGATTTATGTCCAGCGAGAGGCATCAGATGGTTCAGATGTCATGGTTATACAACGCGGTGGTGATATAGCTGCATTTCTCATTCTCCTCAAACTTTTGTTTTCAAAATTGGGATTTGTGTTTGAAAAAAAAAGATAAGTGCTGGGAACAAGATGGACGCAAGAGGGCGCACCGCTGTGAGATTCAGATTCATTTTAATTTGCCATTTGCAGTAAAACCACTTTGGGATATATTTGCACAAGTCCCCAGTGTGCACAAGACAAGAGCCTAAATAAACAAGTTTAAAAGTGCAGGAATAAAACACACACAATTGACTCTGACTGATTAACTAAAACAGTTTCTTTCCAAGTGCTGGATTATTAAAGTGCTCTCTTTAAACTGTAACTGAAATGAGACTGAAAAAAAGCACAGTAGTCTAAAAACTCACCTCAAAGCACAGGGTATGGCAAATGATAGTATATATTTTTATAGGTAAAAACCGGGGATATATATGTTTCTTGCATCCCCACTGTATAGGCATGTATATGATTTTTTCCCAAGTTATTTTAAGTGGCTGTAGATACTCACAATTATTATTATTTAAGGATTGTATTGTAACCAGAATCCTTTAAATCTTACCTTATAAAACCTAGCACATGATGACCATTCCTCCTTCAATAGCACAATGTTTTTCTAATGCATGATTCAAGATACGATCGCAAATGTTTCGGCATATCATGTGTCTTTTACCGTGAAAAGTCAATCCGAGTCTTACTAATGAGCGTGGTGGAGATGTGACCTACCAACAAGCAGTTAAAAACGAGGCCTTTGAAGTGGAAAGATAAGTGAGAATCGGGAACTCCTTACTCCACATGTCAGTTTCAAGCGTGCTCCAGCAGCTGCAGCGCACAGTCCTCGCATTCCTCTTGGTTCCACGTGGTTCACTTTCTTTTCTTGAGTGTCATCATTGCAGAGACAGAAAAAGTAAGCTACTGCAAAAGAGACAAGACTGTTAATTAGTATTTCTTATGACCACTTTGTTTGCTGTTTGTTTAAGTCGTTCGTTAAGAAGTGTGTTGTTTTATCTAATATCTGTATATGTCTACAGTTTAAAAGGACCCATGAAATAAATGTATCACAGGCACAAACTTTGGCAGGCGTTGAACATACTGAGTTCTGCATTTTCATACCCGTTTGTTGGAATGTAACAGTTTATTCATGAGTTTGAATGGATACAAGTTTGTACATGAATCATGAATATATGAGATGTAATGTCAGATAAAATATCTTTGTACAGTTGGATGATGTTGTTACCACATTGAAAAAAGCCTAGAGCAAAATAGTCACACGCCGAAAGCATGTTGTGTCACTTTATACAACATTATGTAACTGCCATAACTCCAAGAACTACTCTGTAGCAGCGGGATCAGGTTCAGGGCAGTTATGGTTACACTTTTCACAGAACACAGAGGAAAAAAAACAAAACTTCATGCTTGATATGTCTTAGTTGTTTATCCCATTCCAACTTCTGTGTGATTATAATGACATGTTTTTGTTTTTACAGGAGGAAGAGCGGTTTTCATCTACATTGAGGCCTTTTATCTTTGCCAGTCTCTGAGCTGAGCAGAGCCCACACAGGAATGGTGGATCACCTGCCCCTTGGTGAGGAGACCTTCCTGTACTACTCCCAGTCCCCGGGGGCGGACTATTCTCGCAATCACACCACCGGTGCTATGGTAACGGACGCCTGCATCGGTCACAGCCAGCAGCCCTACCCAGGGGTGACCCTGTCCTCCTCTCCCGGGATGACTATGTCCGAAGATGACCTCAGTGATTCGTCCAGTCCCCGGTCGTCTCTGTGCTCCAGTCCAGAGTCCCTGTCCTCGCACCACACGTTTGGGTCCAGTTATGAGAGCAGGAGCAACCACAGTAGTGGCAGCTCTTCAGGAGAAAGCCAGGACAGCCTCCTGGACCTGCTTCTATCCCAGTCCAGCCTCAGCAGTTCTGCCCCGTATCACGGCAGCACTACATCCCTATGCTCAGATGTCTCATCTCCTACTTCTTCGCTGTCCTCTTCACCCACTGCACCCCACTTACCAATGGGTCTGTCCTGGGATTTCAAAAAGGAGCAAAGAGTTACCCTCCAGCAACAAACGAAAGAGGACTGCTACGAGTTTCCGGTCTTTTTGGATGAACTTCAAGATCCAGCTGCACTCCTCTTCCAGCCCACCTTAGAGGAGATTGAGGAGTTCCTCGAGGAGAACATGGTGGTGGCCATGGATAGAGACGAGGAGGCAAGTGACGAGGAGATGTCGCTCATGTCCCAGGATGCAGAGATGGACATTTCAAGAACATGTTCTGCAGAGACGTTATCGGGAGAAAAGGCAGCAGATCAGACCGTACCTGTGGCCTTTGCGACAAACCCATTGTCTTCCTACAGAGAGACCAAACCTACACCAGCCGTTTCGAACAAGGACAACGCACATTTACCAATAGACAGCAATGGCATCAAGGAAGAAGACTATCCTATGGTAAATGATGGCTCCAATAATCAATCCAGTGTGCCTGTGATCCTGCAGATCCAGCCCATTCAGATCAAACAAGAACCCACCTCAAGTGCAATTACTGATTCCAGCAATCAGCAACATCCGCAACCTCAGACATCGAATGCCGCATCAGACATCAAAATTGCTCAGCTTCTGGTCAACATCCAGGGCCAGACATTTGCCTTGGTGCCTCAGTTACTCCCGGCCACAAGCCTGGCCAATGCTTGTAAAACTGGAAGCAACGTCCCTTCAAAATTTGTAAGGATCGCACCCGTACCTATCGCTGCAAAGCCGATGGGGCTCGGTGAAGGAGGGCTGGGCGGCGGAGCGGCCACGGGGGTCCTCGGCGGGGCCCAGAGGTTCCAGAAAAGTGCCGTAGCGGACCTGATAAAAATGCACAAGTGCTCTTTCCCAGGATGCAATAAGATGTACACCAAAAGCAGCCATTTGAAAGCCCATCTAAGGAGACACACGGGGGAAAAGCCATTCGCCTGCACCTGGCCTGGATGCGGATGGAGGTGAGCAACCACACACAATCTTACACGACAAAGTGATCTATGCACATGAAAAAAAACCCACAATGATTTAGAGCCAGATCACAAGGTCGTCCGTGCCCGTAAAGACAGTACATGAATCAAGAAGACATAAGCTAGATAGTCCTCACACGAGTACGGTAAGAGTAATCAACCACCTTTGATATTGAATTGAATAGCAAAAATGATTGATTATAGTTTTTTATACCTCTGTGTGCTTTGATGCTGCAGGCAGTAATTCAAGTAGAGGCTTAGGGTAAAAATAGGCAGGCAACAACATAAATACCTGCATCTAAATATACACGTTAGAAACCACATGGTCTGTCACCTGTTCCCAATTGGTGTCATCAAAATAGAAATGTGTTCATGTACTCAAATGTCACCCGGAACTACAGTTAAGTTAATTCTTAAAGCTGTAATCATACCTTGGGAGTGACAGGGAACGCCTCTTTGGGTGTGTGAAGAGCTCAGTGAAATTACATCTGTCATTAGTTTGTGTTCATTCATCCAAACGCTCTGTAATAACTTTAGTTTCAATAGTTCAAATGTGTTGTACAGAATCAGTTCATTTTTTTAACCAATTTTAGTTTCAACCAACACTGGAAAATATCCCTTGAAAAAAATATAAATGAAAATGAGTACAATACTGCTTGAAATAATACAAATATTGACCAGACTGTCTTGTTTCTGAAAATAAGAACATAATACTAGCCCCAAATGACTTGATTCTAGCATTAAAAAACATATATTAAGTATTGTCTTATTTCTTAAAAGTTTTTTGAGAAATGCTTTCATAAAATTTAGCAAAACAAAGTTATTTTATCTAAACAATAAGAGTTGTCTGGAAAAAACAAGCCAAGAAAATAAGAAAAAATACTTAAAACTAGCATTACAACTCACTGCTTGGATATTTTTCTCTAATACAATTATGAAGTATTTTATAACTAGTAAAATACTCTTTCATGATAAACTGCATTCAAGCAAAAAAGAAAAGTTTTCATTAAAAAATTAAGGCATTATGTACGTTATTTTTTAGTAAATATACCAAGATTTTACTTTCTTCAGTGAAGCCTGTGAAAAAAATACTATTACGACTAATACTACCAATAACCCAAGAAACCAATGTGAAAATTAAAAAAAATGTGCGTTGGTTGTTTGCACTTTAAGCCATAAGAATCTTGCGCAAAGGATTCATAATTTTAGTTTTAAATACAGTATGACGTCTGTTCAAAAAGGTACGACGACAGGCATTCTCTGAACAAATAACTCATGGTCAAAGTCATGTGCAGAAACCCTCAGCTCCTAATCTAGAAGTGTTTTAATGTGCAGTTGTTTACTTTTTCATGATTGATTTCCCATTCCTGTGGTCTTTGGAAGTGTCCTGTTTATTCACCCTATTTATAGCTAATGATATGAATATACCAGCTGCAATGGCAAAGGATAAGCATGAACAATATCCACTTTGCTTTCCAGGGATTTCACTCTTGGCGTCATTGACTTATTCAGACCTATTTTTAAAAACGATACCACACTCCTGTTGCAATGTCTTGTTGATGCAATAAAAAAAGAGGTGATAAAGTTAGGAAATTGCCAATCTTCACTACGGTCTATTTACGTCAGATCTAATCTCACTAAGACTGTTGCTGCTACTATCTGCATGTTGCTGTACCCGGGTAAAGTTGAAGATTAGATAGAGCCGCGTTTGAAGTTGCTTTCAGGCAGACTTTGCTCCCAGTTTGTTATTCTGTGTGTTTGTTCTGTGTCTGCTGCTACCTCACACAGACACCTACGAGGCCAGGAAAAAGGGCTAATGGCAAAATCAAGTTCAAAGTTTCCACAATGGACTGGTTTGCATTGGATGGCTATTTCTAGGTAACATAGGCTGATCTAATGTTTACGTAAAATAGATAGATAGACAGATAGATATAGTTTATTGATCTTCCGAAGGAGAAATTCAGGTGTCCAGCGGCAGAAAAACACATCCATATAAACACATTTGTCTATCAATTATTAACATTTCTATCTAACTAACATTTCTTACTAACTGCCCAACAATAGTGCATATTTTATAAGTCATCCAGGTCTGTTGTACAGTCTGACAGCCGAAGGAACAAAGGATCTCTTTACAAGTAGTGGCGGGATCATACATTTCAACAACAGTAGTGACAGAAGAAAGTTGTCAAGATTATAAGTCTCGCAAAAGCAGCCTGAGCAGCTGCTGAAACAGTTAAAGTTTTGTTAATGGGGAATTGAGTTTTGTACAGTGTATGCATTTTGACGACGGTATAATGCCTCCAAAAGGTTTATGAGCATGTGCGCTGAGATGTTCGCAATCTCACTCCGGGCCTGTGGGGGTGTACCTGGAAAGAGAATTACCCAATGCTTTTGTATGGAGTGTTCTTTCCCTTCAAAAACAGCTTTTCAGTATGGTCCAAAAGTCGCTCTCGGACCAACATGCTGTCACGTTCCAGATGTTTTATTTTTTTTTGGACCAGTCTATTTTAGCCGCTGTGGACTTTTGAATGCACTTGTTAAAGGAACGAGGCTCATGCAGCTAACACATGCGCAAATCCCGTTTTTTTCACGTGTCTCTGCCCCGCGGCCATTTTGAAAAAGCCTCACAGAAGGCAAAAGTGGTGGCACATTTAAACAGCGGAGATAAGCGTCACTACGTCTGTGAATATCTACAGTCTATGCCAAAAACAAGGGTGCAAAGATAATTTTCTATTTGGCTTAATCATGAATGTCTCTATTTTGCTTTTTACATTGTTCTTTTGTGTCTGGGGGTCCATGATTCAACACTTTTTAAAGGGTCTCATGTGATTCATTCTAGACACATTCCGGGCTTGTGAAAAACTGATTTGGCGAGGAAATAGAATACAAAGATTATAATCAGACGATAAATAATTTACAAAACAGAGGCCTCAATTTTCATGTCTTAAGTGTTGACGGTTTTCTATTCTTCAACAACTATAAATAATGGAAACATATTTGAGGAGATTCAACTTTCTTTCAGATGCAACTCATATTATTTTGTTCGATACATCCAAAAAACGACAAAATCTTTCGGTCGATGTGTCCAAATGTGACCTATTTCCTCAAATGCCATAACATTACTTCATAACCGTCTCTACTGTACGTTCACGGTCCAAGTGTTTTTGCGCCAGTTCTTGTTTTTTTAGTTGTTGCATATTTTCAAAAGAACATCCACAACAGTAACTTACCACAAAACCTCATTTCAACTCTGCCATCCAAAGTTCAACCCGACTTTCACCCCCCCGCGGTCTGTGGAATCTTCCTTTGGACCCTGCTGCTGTTATTGCACACCGTGTCCTTTACACACACACACACACATTCAGGTTGGGCTCGTTTACAACAAACACCAGGGCCGTGTTTTTGCGGAGGTCTGACTTTACGATGCAAATTACGCTCATGAGCTGGATTAGACGTAGATGGATAGATTAAAGAAGTGTTGTTGTGCCTGAGGAGAGTTGCAGACTGAGCACGGCCTCCGCACACATGCATGCATTTACACCTCTTTCCCGTCGGACACCTTTTTCAAAACAATTATTATGGCATATAGTTCAAAGCAAGGAAGGTGGGTGCTGCGGAGGGTTCGAGGGGTAGAAGGCTTGAAAAACTGGTGGCAAGGCATGGCAAGTTTGTTTGTATAGATAAGATAAGATAAGAGATACTTTCTTGTCCCACGGTGGGGACATTTCAGTGTTGCAGCGCACATACAGGACAGTAGTAAGAGACACAGGGACCACACAGAATGTACAAAATAAGTAGTGGCTATGTTTCTTAACTAGCTGTTAACGCTTCAATACCAGTTTTTCAAAATAAAATATATATGTAGTAGTGCAGAGTTAGACTGTATACTGTACAGGGCAGGATTATAAGAAGAAAGTGACATTGTGACATTCTGAATTTGATTTTAGTGTTTACTTATTTACAGATGAACAGGCACAACTCATAAACAACTCCACTCAAAGGTGCTCTTCAGAGACAGGGCAATCTAATCACGTATGGGATGTTTTTGACTTGATCGTAGTGTGGTGATCGAGAGGTTACCTGTGGTGCTCTGTACAAATAAATAATGATATGTGTATATTTTTTGAAAAACATTGTAACCTTATATTTGACTCGAGTCACACTGCGTATTTTTTGTGTAATTTCTCCAGTTTTTTTAATGTTTAATGTTAAAAGTCTGTATGTTTTTTTCTTGTCACATGATTTCTTGTTATGTGATATGTCTTGTTTTTAAAAAGGGACCTGATTGAAATTATTATGCCCTGACGCGTAGGCAATAAAGCACTTTTTGTTTGTTTTTGACTACGATCAAGTCAAAAACATGCTATATCTGCTATGACACAGTATCTGGGTTTTCGCTCAAGTCATTTCAGTTATGCAACAATGTGTTTTCTTCATATTTCTCGAACATGTGTGTGCGTTCCACCCTTTTGGAAGGTGGGATAATTGTTTCAAAACTAGCTGGTGGAATGTGGACTCTTTGTAACTTCACTCCTACTCTCTCCAAAGTTGCTAATACATAGAAGTGAAAGAATGGGCTCCTCTGAAGTTCTCCAGGCTGGATTTTATAGCTTTTATGACTTCCTTATGTTGTTATTGTGGCTGCTGGCTTTGATAAGCGTCATATTTATGGCATATGTTTGGTTGTGCGGGATATGTAAAAGTTGGACAGAGTTGGAGAGATGACAGTAAATATATATAGTAAACAAGAGGAAAGAGCTGCGGCTGGGACGAGCATACATGGTTCACGGATATGATTAAAGTCGGTTATGGTTGCGTAACAGTTTGCAAAAAAAAAGGCATAATTTTTGAGTATTTATCAACAACAAACTGACTTTGCACGAAGATTTGAATATCTGTGATAATGAAGAACAGACTGCTGGCCGGACTTTATCGATTCTGTGTGGATGTTATTAGAGTGTATAGCACAGTTCTTATACAATGCAACTGAA